CCACTCTGAAACTATGTCACCCCGCTAAATTCTCATTTTAATTTTTCAGGAAGTATTCTAAAAACTGGTGACGTTATACAGCTCATCCAAGAAGTGCTCTGAAAATCCTTACCATCTCAGCCAAGTGTTTCCACTTCTGAAATTTACCACTCTCTGTGTTTCTGCCTCCTTTTCTTGTTCTCTCATTACTCAGGGGCACAAATGTGCCTTCATGGATGTTTCCTTATGTGCCTCTAGTCGAGTATTTAGTGCACTCTAGGGCAATGCACCCTGTGGTTTCATTGACTTGTGGCAGATGGTGTGTGTTAGAATGACATTCAAACAAATACAAATTGTACAGACTCACACTAGTGGAGCTTCTCTTCCTGCCATGTAATTTCTAGGCTTGGAAAAAGTTAAGCCTTGAGACAGCTAATGATCAATAACCAAATGAGAAACTGGACACCCTGGTTTTTGTTTCTGGGTTTTTTGGTTTTTTTGCTTAAAAGAAGAAGCAAACATAAGAAAATGTGGTCTCCTATAAGGTGACAATAGAACTGTGATGGTACTCAAAGAAGCTGGGAAATTGGATATTTGAACTTTCAACCTGTCTTATGGTAGTTCACAGAATAGATAATATAATTAATAGTAATGATAATAATAATAAATTGCATTTATATATTGAAAATCACTTTACCTATATCATCTCATTTGATCCTCACAACAACCCTGTAAAACACATACTACTACTATCCTGATTTTACGGATGAAGAAACTGAGTTTATGAGAGATCAAGTGACTTACCCACGGTCACACAGTAAATATCTGCATGATGGTTTGAATTGAGGTCTTCTATGGGTCCAAGTCCAGAACTTTATCCATTGCACTGCCTACTGCCTGGAGCATTCAGTTTTAGAGCTCAAAGGCCTAGCACCATTTCTTGCGCACAGTAAAATGTGTAATGTATCAAATGTTTGTTCAACAGAAACTTCCTTAGCCCAACAAATGTCCTGCCAGTCATTCATAGAGGAAAAAAAAAAGCATTCTACTAAAGTATGAGGAAATCTCTGGTTACAAAGTATATTAGGTGTTCCGACATGTTTTCTAACTCAGCCAGACACAGCTTCATACAAATAATGATCTGCCTTTTTACAGTTCTTGCCAAGTACGGTGATAGGATGTAGAACTTGAAGGGACCTCAAAGATTATGCCATCCACTTCTTCCATGTAGAGATAAAGAAACTGAAGCCCAGAGAACTGAAATGAATACAGAGTTGTAAGGTCCATTCTGGGTCTAAATGCTATGATCCTATTATTGGAAATAGTCACTCTGTTTCCTGGGTACTTTCTTGTTACTTCTACAAATTCCCCTTTACTGGTTGCTTCTTACGTTAAAGAACTTTCCAGCTGAGCTGACTTGGTCAGTGAATAGAAATTTTTTTCTCTTTGGGGTTATGGATAATCATCCTCTAAAACTGTCTCCTAAATAAGACAATACATATAAAATGCTTTGCAAAACTCAAAGCACCCCATAAATGTGAGCTAACTTATTTTTCTATTCTTGTTCCATTGAAAGTTTTCTTTTATTCTTATTTCCTGTTTTTTACTAGCACATCCCATCCTTAAATCACGTATCCTGAAATTCTGAAGATGGTAATTACATGGGCTACCTGTTCTCATTGATAACTTCCCCATAAAGCAATTATGACAGTATTTCCTAAAGCCTGCTTTTATATTTAACTATTATTTAAGCATATTTAATCATCAAACATTTGTATTTTAGCATTTTCATCTATAGGAAAGCAAATGTGTCATATATAATATTATCCAGAATATATATTTCAGGAGAGAGATTTTCTCTTCAGAAGGAAAATTATTTTTTCGTACATGTTTTGGATGGATGTGTATAAGGTGAAACTTAAGTCTTCAAGCTCCAATGCTAAACCCCACCTTTGTGTGTGATCTGAGGACAAACTTCAAAGGGAACTATCCCAAAATGGATATCAACAAGCATTTATTAAATGCCTACTTGTGCCAGGAGCTGAGCTAGGCACCATTGACAGAGATGGAAAGATGAAACATCTTCTAATTTCAGGGAGCTTACTTGCATCAGGCAAAATGACATACACATACAAGTAAATGCAGAGTACATACAAGGTTAATGCCAGGTAATTTTTTCAAGGAAACACTAATACTGGGCACAGGGAATAAGGAAATTGCTTATTCAAGAGGTGGCATTTGAGTATTGAAGGAAACTAGGGATTCTTAGAAGCCAAGATGAGGAAAGCATTCCAAGCATCAATAAAAGCCTCCTATGCCAAGTCATGGAAACAGAAGACAGAAAGACAGTTTGGCCAGACCCCAGAGTACATGAAAGGGAGTCATGTGCAATAAATCCTGAAAGGTAATCTGGAGCCTGATAGGGAAGAGTTTGGAATGAGCTGCCTCAAAAAGTAGCGGGTTCCCCATCACTGGAGGTCTGTAAGTAAAGGCTGGATGACTATGTCATATATATATTATACAGGGAATGTTTCTTAGGTATAGATTGGACCAGAGCCCTTCCAGCTCTGAAATTCTGGTAATCTGTGTACTATAGTAAATAATGACCCAGGAGTCATTTTCACAACTCTTCAGCCTCCAGTTAGAATAAATAACTGATGTAGGACCCACAAGGAACTAAAACATAAATGTTAAGGCATTATGACACTGTTAAAACTAGTTAGACAGATGAGTAAAAATAACGCTTTTTTATGTGGTGAACCACTTGACTAGAGCTTTATAATTCTATATCATTTGCTTTTAAAAAAAAAGATGGCTTAAAGTTTCTAGAACAAACATTCCCTTCTTGTCGATGGGTTTTAGAGTGCCAACTGAGTTTTGTTTCTTTTCTTTAAAGTATATTTATTTTTAGACATTTCAATCCACTATTGCAAACAGATGTGCACTTTTTTCTTCCCTTAGAAGAAAATAAATAACCAAGGTTGTGATTCTCTTTAAAAACAGAAAACAATAGGAGTTTTATTTCAGAATTATACTTTGTGCCAAGCTTCCAATCTGTAAAACATTTTACCCCATTGTGTTGGGGAGGCGGTAAGGACATCTGTGTGTGTTGTATCAATCTGTTCCCTCAAAATATAATGCTAGTTCATTATGTTTCTGCCTAATCGGTGATAATCAGAAAAGTTACACAAACACAATTTCTGAAAGTGCTCTTAAGAAAAAGAAAAAGCCTGACGATTTGAAGACTGATACCTAAATGAAGTCAAAGTCAACTGTATTATTGAAATTAATATGGCAATAATGAATTTCCTCTTAAATTAAAATTAGTGTTAGACCCAGAATCATTTAGACCTTAGGGATAATTTATTCCAATGCCCTTGTTTTACAGATGTATAAATGCAAATTGGGGCAGCTAGATGGTACAGTGGGTAGCGTGCTGGGCCTGCCATCAGGAAGACTCATCTTCCTTAGTTCAGATCCAGCCTCAGACACTTCCTAGCTGTGTGACCCTGGGCAAGTCACTTAACCTTGTTTGCCTCAGTTCTTCTCTGTAAAGTGAACTGGAGAAGGAAATGGCAAACCACTCCAGTATCTCTGCCAAGAAAACCCCAAATAGGGTCATGAAGAGTCAGACACAACTAAAGCAACTGAACAACAATAAATACATGGAAATTAATAGAAAGCCATCAACATTTGGCCAGGGGATGCTAAACCATAATCGTAGCATCAGAGATTTAGAGCTGGAAGGGACTTTAGAAAATGGATGAGGAAACTGAAGACTATCTGAGATTATACAAGTTGTAAATGGCAGAGGCAGGATTTGAGCCCAGGTCCCTCTAAAGCCAAATCCCAAATTATTTCTCTTGCATTACGTTGTACAAAAATACTGTTGTATAAAAATACTGGCAAGCTGTGTAAAAATACTGTCATGTCAGATGAGTAAACTTGGGACTGGAGAGATGAAGTCAGAGGACAATTTCAAGCCATCCCCCCAGCCAATTGCTAACAAAGTCTGCTCTAAAAAAATAATATCTCTTGACTCCCTGTGTGGTGCTCCTTTCATTTTTCTTCACTCGATTCCGTAATCTCAGGACCAACTGGACTAGATGACTAAGATTCATTCCACATCTAAATCTATAGTCCTATGATTTGACTTAGAAATAGAAAAGTATGAAAGCTGACTGATCCTGATTTTACTGCTTTGCTCTAACTAGGCACTCTTCCCACCTTTAAACTCATACTCTCCTTTAGAAACCAAGATGCCTAAGCCAGTTTCAAGATGTGTTGTTTGTTTGTTTGTTTAATCCAAGTACTTCAAATTACTCATGAACAGGAGGAAGAATGGAGAATTCAATAGCTTTACCTATCATTGAGTCAAATGAAGCTGCAGCAATTACCTTTCCTTAGGGGCTAATTTGGGGAAGGGGAGAGGAAGAGAAGGTAGGAGAATTCATACTTTGTAATCTATTTAAGCTGCATTTGTAAGTTTCCAGGAGCTATCTGTTTGTCAAGAAAGAGCTTTCTTATTGAGTGGGGAAAATGGTAAAGCTGACATCTACTTAGCATCCATTAAATTTTCTCTTGCTAAATGAATAAGGATTTTCTTATCATCTGAGCTCAGAAACATAAAACTGCTTATAGTCCAAATGCTTCACCCTTAATTCTGTTGTTTTAGGACTAGGAGTGGTTCATTAATATTCAGGTCATAATTGTTATTTTGAACTTAAATAAGGCCTTTCTTCTTGAGAATACGAAGGGTTTTTTTTCTAACGTGCATTATCATTATCATGTTTGCAACATATCTATCCTTTTAGCCTTATTGAATGAGACTCTCCTGCTGTCGAATTCACCCCTAAAAAGGAGCTTTTATTTTCATGCATCCACTTTGTTTTCCCTTGTTCAAAAGGCTTAGTAAGAAATTTCTCGCCATGATCCACTGAGAAGCACTACCTCCAAGTATGGAAAATTTGTGGCTGCCTTTGGCTTTTTCATTATCTCCATTGATGTCTTTGTCTCTACAGATCCCATGTATTTTCTGATGCAGAGCTCCAAAACCTCATTACCAGCAAGATCAGCATAACAACCAGGGCAGCCACTGACGAGATTGAGGCACAGAATCAGAGGATTTTAAGCTGGAAAAGACCTATAAGATTTTCTAGTTCAATGAGGACACAGGGGTTCACGTAGGCAAGATGAGAAAGAAGGCAAGAGGAAAAAAGAAAGAGACTGGGGAAAAAAAGAAGAAGAAAGGAAAAGAATGAAGAAAAGAAGAGAAGAAAATGGAAGGAAGGGAAAAAGGAAGGAGAATGAGAGAAAGGAAAAAGAGGGAGGGAAAGGAGGCACATACAATAAAGAGATACAGTGTGATGCAATAAATGAATGAATGAGTGAATGCTAGACTTGGAACCATAACTAAATTCAAATCCAGTGTTATTCACCTCTGGATACTCTATGCTGTGGCCAAATTGAAATATTCTTTGCACTTTGAATATAGCCTGTCTTTCTTGCCTCCACTATGCATTTAAAAACAATATTCAAAGAAGGGATCCATAGACTTCACCAGATTACCAAAGGGCTCTATGACACACAAAAAGGTTTGCTTTCGACCATAAGTTCATTCAGGAGCAGGAATGATGTCTTAATTGTCTTTGTATTTCTCCAGCATGGCACCATATTTTATACACAGCAGGTGCTTGGTAAATGGTGGTTGGGCAAATAAATTAACTTTCTCCTTCTCTTGGTCTGTTGATTGAATCTCTACCCATTCTTTAAAGCTCAACTCAAATGCAGGTACTCTAGGAAGACTTCCCTTGTCTGTCTGGTAAGTTACATACTTTTTTTCCTCCAGCCTTATATTAGCAACTATTACGTAATAGTACATTATCATTTTCTCTCACTTTATAACCAATAAAAAATTTGCTAATAATCCATAGAGGAATAATCAAGTGGATAATGAATATCTGTTTTCAGTGTTACAGTTGATGTCACTGGGCTAATCCATTAATACAGATATCTTAAATTGACACTGTAGATTATAACAATATGAACCCACCATTGAAATGAAATGAAAGACCAAGATGATTTGGGAAATTGGGCAGTACTTTCAATGACCCCAAGCTTCTCCCTGAAACAAAAACCAATCTTTATAACACCAATATTCTCTGTTACATGGTTATAAATCACAAAAAAAAGAAGATCTCTGAAAAATCAAAATTGCAAGTCACCAGAAGAACAATGAAAAGATGCATGGTGGATAAAGATAGGTTTTGGAATACAATGTCATATGTTCAAGAAGTGGCATAAAAGATAGCATTTAAGAGTTTCATGATCAGAAAAAGAGATAGACTAGTTATGGAATTAGAGAAAAAGATAACAAGATGTACAACCTGCATAATGCATGACATCCACGGTACCATAAAAGGTTAAAACAACAAGAAGGCACTCAGCACTTTGGGTGGACCTTCTAGAGTATTTATGGGATAACATGGACAGGAATCAAATGTGATGGAAAGGCATGAATATGTTGTAGTATGTATCATTAGAGAGATTACCCATATAAATGAGTCGGTAAATCCATGGAAGCACTGAAATATGCAATTATCTTCTGTTGTGTTGTGAAATCAAATTGGATACTTGAATTCTATGCCTCCAGAATGCAAGCTCTGACATTTCTAGCAAGTGTCATTTCAGCAATGGATTGTATTTCTGTTGTTTGAAAGCTAGACCAGTTATAGTCACAAAGCCTAATCTCTAGAGGTTTGCCCCCAGCTAAAGAATTCTTTTTAGCCACAATAACTCAGTAACTAACTACTAAATGGTGAAGGGGTTGAAATCTGGATGCATTATACCTATTATGAAATTATTACATAATTATGTATACAGATAGGTGTGTATATGTGTGTGTGCTATATCCTCCCTACAGATCAGAGGTTCCTAACATGCATTTATAGATAGATAGGTACATAGATAGATAGATAGATAGATAGATAGATAGATAGATAAATAGATAGATAGATAACTATATGCCAATACAATTAGTTTTTTTATTAATCATGTGCATATTATTTTATGCATTTAAAAACAATATTCAAAGAAGGGATCTGTAGACTTCACCAGATTACCAAAGGGCTCTATGACACAATAAGGTTTGCTTTCGACCATAAGTTCATTCAGGAGCAGGAATCATGTCTTAATTATCTTTGTATTTCTCCAGCATGGCACCATAGTTTATACATAGCAGGTGCTTGGTAAATGGTGGTTGGGCAAATAAATTAACTTAAGTACAAAAACATCTTTCCTGCTGGTCTCCAAAGACAGGGTCAATATCAGGTTTCACAGGAATGCTTGAGCCATCTTTAAGGAACGAGAGTTAGCAGTTCAGTCGGTGGCACTTCTCTCAGAGGTAATCATTGAAATCAAATTTTCATCCTCTGACAGGGAAGATACTTCTAGCAGAAGCTCCCTTTGCTCTCATTAAGATCAAAATCAAAACCCAGAGTTTCTGTTTCAGTAGGGGATCCCAAATGACCTTGCTTGGTTTTCAGTAATAAAAGGAATAGATATTGGTACCTCTTACCTCAGTGCCAAGAGTCAAAGCAATCACATCATCTGCCCTCTTACAATCTCCTAGGCAATATCATTGGCCTGCAATATTCCTGACACACCCTATCCTACATTGTCATTTTGGGTGGCTATTCTTCCCTCCTTACTGAAGGGGGGTAGGACTTAAGGAGGAAGAATGTTGTAGTTTCAAAGTAGCTCACCTGAAATTCACAGAAGAAAGCTAAAGCATTGTGACCCTCAGAGAAAATGATTAAACTGACATCTTGAAAAGACAAGTGGTGTTGTAAAGTCTGGCCTTGTGCCAGGTGATCTAGGACAAATCATATCATTTCTTTAGGAAATGAGGAGAGGGAGAACAGTTGATAAAAGGCAGCTCCCCTCATCCACCCTTTTGGATTCTGCCTCTTCAGTCATCTTTCCATGTCCTATTTATTCACATCTGGGATATCCTCCAGATTCCCCCACCTTCTCTATTTGTTAAAGTTCTATCTTTTTTTTTTTGGTAAGCAATTGGGGTTAAGTGACTTGCCCAGAGTCACACAGCTAGTGAGTGTTATGCGTCTCAGGGCATATTTGGACTCAAATCCTCCTGACTCCAGGGCCAGTGTTCTATCCACTGCACTAGCTAGCTAGCTGCCCTGGTCCTATCTTTCTTAAAAGCCTACCTCCATTTTCCCATTAAACCTTCCTCTTTTCTTTACCACCTTGTACCCCCAAATCAGGAGTCTTTTCCTCTTTGTTGGCCATTAGCTACCTGAGTGACCTTAGGTAAGACATGTAACTTCTTTGGACCTCAGTTTCCTCAACTGTAAAGTGAGGAGTTTGAACCAGACGTCTCTGAGGTTGCTTCTATCTCTAGACCTATGATATAGCAAATTATTCTTTTTTTAGCCAATTATCATGTTTTAATTTGCATGATATATAGCAATATACTTATCTTGCCTCTCCTAAAGATACTATAAACACCTTAAGTTTGGGTCTGTCTCCCCCAGCACCTAGTACAGCCCATCTTAGGCAGTTAATAATTGTGTGCTGAATGGATGAATAATAATTCACATTTAAATAGTTTTTAAGGTTTGCAAAACTCTTTCCATATACTAGCTCCTTGGATCCGTACAATAGCCCTGTAAAGCAGATGCCATTATTACTCCCATTTTGCACATGAGGAAATTGAGTCTCAGAGAAGTTAAGTTTCTTGTCCAGTGTCATATAGTTACTGAATATTAGAAGTGGGATTTGAACCTGGGTCTTCCTGACTCCAACTCTAGAACTCAATCAACTGTGCTAGGCCCCATTTGAATGAATGCATGCGTGAATGAATGACTGAATGATACTTTACCAGAAAGAACAACCAACTTGGAAAGCAGTAGAGAAGATATAAAATATCCCAATGTTAATAGTTTTTTAAAAAACATTCAAAAAGACACAATTGTTACAATTTACGATTTATGAATAAAAGAAATTAACAACCAGTTAAGCAGGCTTTTTAAAACCTCACTTTCTTCCTTAAAAAGAAAAAAAAGTCATATTTCCAAGAGAATGCTTTTTAAGCCTACATAAATATTATGAAAGCTATGTCTTCTAATTCACTTTTAAAAAAATAAAACAACTAGGAGGCTCAGGAATAGAAAAACCATGTAGTAAGTGTTTACTATCCTCAAACCTGAAAATACATTAGGTTGAGAAATCATAATTGTAAATATCAACGCTGAATTTTTACTACATCGCGTTCCAGGTAAGTAGCCTGAGTCTGATCCCATGGCACCATAGGTACCACTAATTTATATACATTTCATTTTAAAATATGTCCTTACAGTTCTTTTTTGTCATTGAATAAGCCTCACTGCCTCTCTTGAGGACCAAGCATTCAATGCTTGTTTTTCCAAAGTATCTCTCCCTCCTTCAGAATACACAGAACAGTCAGAGGGTTAATTAAAGTGGGAATCATTTGTGCACAGGAGACTAAGTTTGCAGGTAAGGCAATCCACAAGCCAAAGAGTTTTCCAGTTATGCGAATGTGCACTTGAGTATATGTATATGTGTATGTGCATATGTATGTATGCATGCAGCTGAATGTGGGGGAGAGGATGAGAGCATATTGAAAGAAATTTTTATTTTTAAATCACTATTATTAACAATATTATGGTTATCATCATTATTGATTCACTCATTCAACCCTTTTTATGACAAACATTTTAAAGCCTTAACAAGACAAAGGCAACAGAACCTCATGCTTGACCCTTAATATATGTTGTCTGCATATATTAGCATTTTTATAATGGTAATACATATAGCTTGAGGGTGAAAGTAAATGTCCACTAACTGTCAGGGCACAGAGCCATCTGCTCTACTTCTGCAAGCATTCACTTTGTGGAAAAAAACTAATTCATGGCATGAGGAAAAAGGAAAATATAAGAAGCACCCACAGACCTTCCAAGGCACCTAACTGCTCTAGGAAGAAATTTTTGCTTCATTAATACATCACAGAATGTCAAATCTGACCTTCAGTCCCTCAATTCCTTCAAAACTGTGGCACCTCCAGCACAAAGCCAGCTCAGTGGCACAGTAGATAGAGTTCTAGGCCTGGAGTCAGGAAGACCTGACTTTAAACCACAGCCTCAGACATTGTGTAGCTGTGGAGGACCTGGGTAAGTCATTTAACTC